ATGGACACTTAGGCTGTTGCCCGTATTTTGCTGTGATAACACTGCAATGGATAAGGTATGGGCATTTTACACTTGATGAATAAGTGCCTCTGGAAGACAGATTCTTAGAATGGGTGAATGCATTTGCAATTTTGATATTTTCTAGAATGCTCTCCCTAGATGTTTTATCAAATCACGTTCTCATCAGTAAAATAAGTGCTCCTAATTTCTAATTTTTTAAATTTATTATTATTTTATTTATTTTTCTTTTTTTGGGCTGCATTGGGTCTTAGTTGTGGCACACAGGATCTTCGTTGAGGCACACGGGATCTTTCGTTGCGGCGAGTGGGCTTCTCTCTGGTTGCGGTGGGCAGGTTTTCTCTTCTCTAGTGGCGCACAGGCTGCGGGGCGTGTGGGCCCTGTAGTTTGCGGCATGATGCGGGCTCTCTCTTTGAGGCGTGCGGGTTTAGTTGCCCTGCAGCATGTGGCATCTTAGTTCCCCAACCAGGAATCGAACCCATGTCCCCTGCATTGGAAGGCGGATTCCCTTTCTAATTTTTTTTAAAGTTTCCAACTTTATAGGTGAAAAATATTTCATAGTTACTAAGTGCATCTACATTAGGAATATGGTAGAACACCTTTTAATATATTGGCATTTCTTTTTTGAGGAACTGCCAGTTAATACTGGCATGAGGTTGGTGTGGGTGAGAGACCAGACTACAGTCAAGGGGTTTATTCTCACACATATCATGTCTGGAGACGAGTAGTTCAGGCCGGCATGAAGGCTGCAAGGTTATCAGGGTATCAAGCTCCTCGTTTTTTTTTTTTTTTTTTTTATTTTGCTGTATGCGGGCCTCTCACTGTCGTGGCCTCTCCCATCGTGGAGCACTAGCTCCGGACGCACAGCCCCAGCAGTCATGGCTCAAGGGCCCAGCTGCTCCGCGGCACGTGGGATCCTCCCGGACCAGGGCATGAACCTGCGTCCCCTGCATCGGCAGGCAGACTCCCAACCACTGCGCCACCAGGGAAGCCCAAGCTCCTCGTTTCTTTCCCCCCATCATATTAAAATGCGGCTTCGGTCTTAAAGGTCACCTAGGCTCACGATAGCTGCTGGAGTACCAGCTAACGTGTCTACACTGCAGGCTACAAGAAGGAAAAAGAAAACGGCCACACAAAGAAAACGGCCACAGGGTGTGTGCCTCCTCCCGTTTAAGAAGCCTCACAGAAGCCCCCTTTGACACTTAGCTTCTGTTTCAGCAACAACTCAGTAACGTGGCTGTGTCTGAAGGAAACTGGAAAATGGGGCTTTTTAACTGAGGGCGTTGCCCGGGATCAGTTAATAAGGGAGAAGAGGGCACTGTGTATTGGGAGGGCACTGGCAGTTTCTGTCCCATATTCTTGGTCAGTTTTACTTTGGGGTTTTCATTCTTACTCTTATTGAGTCCCAGGAGCTCTTTATATATGAAGGAAATTCTCCTTGCCTGTCACAGGAGCTACACATTTTTTTTCTATTATTTTCTTTTGACTTTGATTAAGGTCTTTTGTCACGTAGGTATTTTTTCTGTAGTTGAAGGTATCCATGTTTTCTTTTGTATGGCTTCTGGTTTTTGAGTCACATATAGGAAGGTCTCTCCTGGTTCCTTCTGGGACTTTTACAAAGGTCTCATACCAGGAAAGATTCAACTCAAGGTCAAAGCCTTCTGGAACCAAATTTCCTCTCTAAGTTGTGGGCCATAGCAGTGGCAGCTGGCTCACTGACCACCTCCGGAGACTTAAGGACATCACTCAAGTAGTGTGACCTGTAACCATAGTATGGTGACTCGAAGACCACTGTCACACACAGGTCTTTCCATCAAGCTTCCTGGGGTCTGGGTGGCTGCAGAGCAACAAGAATTTGCATCCAGTGAGATTAAGGTGCTGTTTAGGATGGAAATTTAAATAGCCAAGTCAGAAAGTTATTACAAGTTATTAACAGAAAGACAAGAGAAATGAGAGAAACATTCCTCTGTAAAAGAGGGAGGGTGTTTTCAGGCATTCATAGTTCACACAGGCCACCCCAACAGCTCCTTCTGGTCTCTGGTGAGAATCACTTACCACCAAGAACAGAGCCGGACGTTCACAGGAGTCAGGGAAGGGCAAGCCTGTGCTCAGCTGGACACGGCGAGTCTTGTGTGACACCCCCTCTGTTACTGCGGTTGGTTGGCATGTTCTTTTTCTTGGAAAAAAGCAATTCAAGTGGGTGCTACCTCGATAAGAACATAGCTTAACTGGTTCAAAACAGTTTTTAAAAATTTCATATGGGTACACACAACAAGTTGTACAACTTAGTCTAACATCTATTAAAAGCGCGTTCCAAACTTGAATCCTAACGTTGTGTAGGGCTCTGGATTGAAATGTTCACCTGAGCTTCCGGAGGCATGAAAACACTGTCCTGTTCTCATTAGGGATAGAAAATTACATGCACCGCAGCTGGAAACACCACCTTAACCTGTTCTTTCTAAATCTGATTAGACCCAGCAAAGGCTCGTGCATGCACCCCAGGAGAGTGCAGCGGAATATCTGAAAGCAGAGGTGAAAACAGTGCACATGTTAAAAGAGCGCTTTTCACAGGGGGAAACTAAATGATCACCGACTTGCCCAGGTGGTTACAAAGGTAGCTTTCGGCAAAAGCTCTCATACAACCTACAATGCCTGATTCTTAATTCTGACAATTTGACAGCAACTAAAATTTAAATTAGGAAAATACTTTTTTAACCCGATAGACGCAGTCTTTTTAAACTTACGACTTGCTGGCTTTCCGTGGGGGTTAAAATCACAGCGAGTGTGAAGATGATGTGCCCACGCCTTGTGAGACCTGCAGGCTACGGCACGGCTGGTTTAGGTCTGGTACTCCCTTCTGTGGCCACGAAGAAACTTCCAGAGTCACCGGACAGTTTAGCCACCGTGAAGGGGGAAAGCGGTGCAGACGAGTCACCCAGCCCCTGGTTGAGACTCCACACGCTCTCTTTTAAGACTGTAAACTCTCTGGGGAAACCTTATTAACAAATAAGGTTTGTTGGCTGGAGAGGTAAACTGTATCATAACCACCAAACCGATTATTGTAGATGCCGTCTGTCTGAGGAACATGCAAAGAATTTTTATGCAGTAGAAACTATGCCATGTTTAAAACAAAAAAAAAGAAAAACTTTAAGGATGGACACAATGGACGCATAAAGGCTGAACATCAAACTTTAATCTTGAACCTTTTCTCCAGTCTTCAAATTATTAACATGAAAAGGAACAATAAATTGCAATTTTATCATTACCTTAATCGCCATGTAACAAGCCCTTGTTACAAAATCTCCATCTACTGTGCCCAAAAAACCAACGGAAAACCCATACATTATATTATCTAAGTGATCTATTTAACAGATGAAATTTTAACCAACTTCATACCAGGAAACTATTAACAGAGGTGCTTCAATCACATAGCTTAATATATGGAGAAAAGACAGGTAAAAAAATGATCTTATCCTGTAGTAGTCGTCTTCTTACTTTTTAAAATTTTTATAAAATACACTAATTTCCCAAAATAAAGAATATTATGACACATTGGTGTCAACTTACACAGATGAAAGCTGACGGCAGCTTTGTTTCTAGCTAAATTTCATTTCACCAAAACTTTATATATTACATGAATATCCCAGTAAAGTATTTTTTAAAAAAATTCAATACACAGGAACATAATGTACAGTGTCTTATTTAAAAAAAGGTTAATTTAGGAATGATTTCATTTCAACCACGTAATGTATCTCTTTAAGACCATGAAACCGCCTGCTACTGTGAGAAGATTCACAGGCCATGTTTTGATTCCCCAGCTGTAATTCTTAAAAGTAAAAAATGAAAAAGGCTTTTGCGTCTGCTTTTTCATGAGAAAACTGTGGCCACGGTCTCTGACGTCGCCAAGCCCAATTCCCTGGTTCTGTTTGGAGGGCAGCCCTGACCCAGGCCGCGTTGCCCCACAGGGTGGAGGTGGGCTGTCAGGGTGGGGCTGCAGGGTGTGGGCTCCGCCCACCTGCACCCACCACCCTGCAAGGGGGGCGCCGCCCTGAGGCCCCGCCTGCAGCCACCTGGAGGGATGGGGAGCCCGGGTCACAGCCGGGGAGGGCCTGGTTTGGGGCGGAGGAGGAGCTGCCCGGTCCAGCCCAGGTGGGTGGTCATCACCCGTGGCCTCTGTGCGGGGGGTCCACCACCCTCGGGGGCGGGGGTGTGGGGAGCGCCACACGGACGCCTGGGCCGCCTCGCAGGGTCCCTCCTGCATGACTGCACAGGCAGGTCCCCAGGGTAACAGCGCGATGACGTTCAGAGCCAAGCTCAGACAGGTGGCAACCTCGGTTCTTCAACTTCCAGCCACCGAGCTGAGCCGCTTCTGTTATGAAACTAAATCTATTTCTGAACACATTCTGTCCAAGGGCTGTGCTTTATTCTTCCTTATTCTAGGGAATCAGAGACCTTCAAGGTTAAACTGAGGACTAGGTCTTGGAGTGATTCCTGACCCCAACCAGAGAGAGAGGCTCCTGCCTCGCTACCTCAGGGTCCCTCAGCGACACGGATTCACTTGTGTGTCCTGGTTTCCCAAAGAGACAACCAAACCCGAGAACAGGCATCTCTGATTCAAAGAAGCCGAGGTGAAGCCCAGGGGCACAGGGGCTGCATCCGCATCAAGGACACACTTTTGCTCCCGACAGGGGATCATCCAGCTTCTCCTTGGCTATCATTTCATAAATTAATAATTTCTTAAAATCATAATCCAAAGAATTTATCTATTACAAGAAAAATTCAAGTTTAAAAAAGCAAATAAATTAGTTAAGCCTTGTAAACAGTTGTCTGTCTCAGCTAGATATCTTTTTAGAAAAGGTTCCTCTGTGGAGTGAATCAGACAGGACCAGGCACATGGCACGCACCCTGGTCCTGCCGCCCTGGGTCCCTGTGGGCCTTGTGATGGATGCGGTGATAGGCCTGGTCCAGCCCCCGGCGGCTCCTCAGATGTTTTCCACGAAGCTCCCGGGGAAGAGGCCCGTCTTCCCGTTCCGCTGCAGCGTGCCCTTGAACCAGCCATCCTCCCGCTTCCTGTGCACAAACACGATGTCACCCTCCTTGAGTTCCAGTTCTGCCTCACTCTGTGGGGGGTATGAAACCACCACCCGGTGCCTGCAAGAGAGTGGGGGAGTGAGGGAGAAAGAGATGGAGCGGGAAAGAGAGATTGGGGGGGGGAGAGAGAGAGATGTGGGGAGAGACGGGGAGAAGAGAGAGAGAGATGGGGAGAGAGATGGGGAGAGAGAGAGAGATGGGGGAGAGAGAGAGATGGGGGAGAGAGAGAGATGGGGAGAGATGGGGGAAGAGAGATGGGGAGAGAGATGGGGGGAGAGAGAGATGGGGAGAGATGGGGGAAGAGAGATGGGGAGAGATGGGGGAGAGAGATGGGGGAAGAGAGAGAGAGAGATGGGGGGAGGGGAAGCAAGGAGGAGGGGGTGGGGAGAGACAGTGTGCTTAGTCACAGCTGCTCAGAGTTAAGCAAAGCCAGTGCACGCGCCTGAGACGCTGACAGAACAGACGAAGCACAAGTCTGCCTATAATGTTGGTAAAATTACTCAAAATGCCACGGTCCCCTGTTGAGTAGAGACTTGGCATGAACAATGTTTGGATGTGCATAATGATCCACAACTGACCAGGGGCTGACTGAGGAAATCCTGCCCTAAACACCCCAATTCTCCCTGGGGCAGGTTGTCCCAAGGTCCACACAGGGAGGGGAGGACGGAGACCACCAGTTCAATCCACCACCAGCAGCAAGGAGGCCGGCATTCAGAACTCAGCTGGTCTGACATTTGTGTCCGTTTCTCCACTGGTTCTCAACTCAGGTATCAGTGGGAAAATATGTAGTTATTACTGAAAGATTCCAGAAGCCTTTTGCTGGTTTAAGGTCATCTCCCCCGGCTTCCATGCTTCTTTGTATCCTTCTGCAAAATTATGGTTAAGAGCCAGGGAAGCCAGAGGGAGGTGAGCTGTTTTTCACACTGTGTGGTCCCCGCCCACCTGTGTGACCAACAGAATCCTGTGAAAATGACGTCTCTGATCCTGAGGTGGGGTCCTAACCCGGCTCCCACCCGGCTGTCTCCCGGGAAACCAGTCCCACACTGTCAGCTGACTCATCACCCTGTGGACAGGACCACACGCCGGGTAACAGACGTCTCTTCCCATAAGCCAGCGGGACCACCTTGACTAAGGGGTCTTCCGGCGCCAGCCAAACCTTTACACAACTGCAGCTCAGGCTGACATCTGGACACTCATCCTAACAAACAGCCTAAGTCAGAATCACCCACGTAAGCTATCCCCAAATTCTCAACCCACAGAACTATGAAATAATACATATTTATAGTTATTTTAAGCCACTGAGTTTTGGGGATAATGTGTTATACGGCAAAAGATAACTAATAAATAATCTCTCCCTGTCTCACGCTAATTAGTTAAGTCTTCAGCTACAAAAGTGGTTCAGTTTCTACTCTCGTTTGGGTCTTGAAGTCAGAAAATGAATTTATAACCTCACAGGAGTTACTCTTAACAGCAAGTAGAGAAGGTCATGGGTGAAGAGCTGGTCATCAGAACCGATGCTACACAACTGCCCCAAACTCATGAAAGCCACCTGAGCCCGGTCCTTTTGGAAGACTGCTAGTTTCACCAGCCTCCATTCCATAAAAACCAGAATCCACTCATGTTAAGACCTGAGCAACAGCTCCAGGCTATGACTCTATTAGAAAAGGCACCTCTGCAAAGGCCCAGGGGCCACCCACACCATTTCCCAGCAACCCTGGGCTCAGGAGCCAAACTATCCTCCAGGGTCTGGAACAGAAGCGTGGCACGGAGGCTGCCTGATTATCTCCAAGAAAGGTCCAGAGAACTGAAACGTGAGTACTGACAGGCTTCAATCGAACTTGGAGGAGGTGGGGGAGGCCTGGCCTCGTGGGAGAAGTGGGCCTGGGGGTTCCCGCAGCCTTTGGGGCCATTCGGAGCAGCTTCACTGTGGGCGGCCATCTCCGCTTGGGCCTCGGTGTTCTCATCTGCGGACTAGGGCCGCAGGGACCGGAGCAGGTAGCATCAGGTGATGTGTGAACACAGGTGGGATGCACGCAGGGTGGTGTCTGTCACAGAGCTGACACCCCAAGTGCCAGTCCCCAGCACGATCGTGTGGCTCTGGCTAGAGCGGGTGGGAGCCTGGCGCTCCAAGGAGGCGACCAACAGCTGCCTCTACCCAGGAACGACTCAGACCACACCCTAAAGGAGAACGTCCTGACAACACACTGACAAACTTTAGAACAGCAGAGTTAGGGCTCTGGAACCCTTTCTCTGACAGCTTCCCACTGTGGACTAACCGGAAGGGAGGAATCCAGATGAGAAGAGACTTCTCAACTCTGATGCCAACAGGCTGAAGATCCACGTAAAAGCTCATGCCGCCGGGACTTCCCTGGCGGCCCCGTGGTTAAGGCTCTGCCCTTCCAATGCAGGGGACGCGGGTTCGATCCCTGGTCGGGGAACTAAGATCCCACATGCCGCGGAGCAACTAAGCCCGCGTGCCACAACTACTGAGATTGTGTGCTCTGGAGCTCTGGAACCCGCACACCACAGCGAGAGATGAGCCTGCACAACACGACGAAGAGCTCGTGTGCCGCAACTAAGACCCGATGCAGCCAAATAAATAAGTATTTAAAATTTTTTTAAAAAAATCCAAGCTGCCACTTGGGGCAAGTTGAAATTTGAGCAAAGCTTTATAATTATGGAAAGAAGCGTACAAGTGACTCAAATCATATTCACAGTAGCTCTCTGATGAAATGTATCCCCACCGGTCCTCTGCCAGCTGCCTTACAGGTGAAATGGAACAAAAACGTTTCTTGAAAAAAGTGAATAGTTCTAATATTTGCATTTTAAAAACTGTACTAGGGCTTCCCTGGTGGCGCAGTGGTTGGGAGTCCGCCTGCCGATGCAGGGGACACGGGTTCGTGCCCCGGTCCAGGAAGATCCCACATGCCGCGGAGCGGCTGGGCCCGTGAGCCATGGCCGCTGAGCCTGCGCGTCCGGAGCCTGTGCTCCGCAAATGGGAGAGGCCACAGCAGTGAGAGGGCCACGTACCGCAAAAAAAAACAACAAAAAAAAACTGTACTAAACCAATTTTGTCAAACATTTCCTGAACTAGAATTGCTGCTAGGCTAAGACCACGATCTTCCTGCCAAGCCTCCAGGGCAGTGGATTTTCACCGCTAAGTGACGGGCCTCCAGGGCTGATATGAGTGGGAACTGCGACCTTGGGTTGTAGGGAGACCAGCCGGTGCGGCAGAGACTCTGCTCAGATGCTGGATGTGCGTCGAGGGTGTCTGCACCAGTTTTCCAATGCAGACGCTCAAGACCAACAATGGGCCCAGCCGGCCACCGTCTCAGGTGTGGAGGAGCTTGGCCAGGCGGATGGATGTTCAGCAGCCTCCGGCAGATGAGAGCACAGCCGTCAGGCCCCTGGATGACGCTCGGCTTGATCCGAGCAGGGACGCTGGGCAGCCCTGAGCCTCAGGGGCCACACTTCTTTCCCATGGCCGCCACGGGACCCGGGGTCCGCCTGCAGGCCCGCGCTCTGGCCACGCCGCTGCGTCCCCTCCCACCTGACCAAACAACCTGCCTGTCCTCCCGCCTCAGATCTCCCGTCCCCATTCCGTTTTGCAAAGAAGCAAAGTACTACCTTTAACTGCCAGCTCCATTTGTAGCTATTTCTGGCTCAAAACTCCTTCCAGCTTCCCAGCGCCTCTGTTAGGTTATTCCTCAGCCTGGTGTGTGAAGCCCTCAGTGACCGGCCTCAATCTCTCTTTATAGCTACAGCTACTATTATCCCCACAAATGTGCCGAGCACACCTCCACATGGGGACACTCCCCCAGGCGTTGGCATCTCTCCCCACCCCATGTCTTGGCTCATGTGGTCCCCTGGGGACTCTCTCAGACAACCTCCGCGCCCGCCCACGCCTGACAGGCCTCTCAAAGCCTGGCTCCCACCTGCCCCGCGGCTGCAGGTAACTTCAGACCTGACCGGATTCCAGAAGCCTCGGCACTTAGCACAGTCTACACTGAATCTCCGCCAGCTGCATCCCTGCCTCATTCATTCGGCCAAAACATGAGCTGCTTTAGGGGTAAAGTGATGGTAAACTCACCGTATACACCTCACACCACCGAACACAGTACGTACATATGGTCATTCTTTTTTTTTTTTTTTTTGCGGTACGCGGGCCTCTCACTGTTGTGGCCTCTCCCGTTGCGGAGCACAGGTTCCGGACGCGCAGGCTCAGCGGCCATGGCTCACGGGCCCAGCCACTCCGCGGCATGTGGGATCTTCCCGGACCGGGACACGAACCTGCGTCCCCTGCATCGGCAGGCGGACTCTCAACCACTGCGCCACCAGGGAAGCCCCATATGGTCATTCTTAATAAGCATGCCGAATGACAAAAATAAAAAGTCCTGATTGTATAGGAAAACTACTTTTTAAATGGACAAACCTCCTCAAAAAGGAATGAAATTCTGACATTCACAGGTTACAACGTGGATGAACCTTAAAAACATTATGCTAAGTGAAACAAGCCGCACACAAAAGAACAAATACACAGTTTCATTTATGAGGTTTGCAGAATAAACTCATACAGTCAGAAAGTAGAATGGGGGTTGTCAGGGGCTGAGAGAGGAGGGAACGGGGAGTTAGTGTTGAATGGGATGATGAAAAAGCTCTAGAAATGGATAGTGGTGATGGTTATACAACAATGTGAATGTACTTAATGCTACTGAATTGTACACTTGGAAAAAATGGTATTTGATCACAATTTAAAAATTAAGATAAGTGAATTTAAAAATTAATGGGAAGATGAAAAAAAGCAAAGAAAGAAAGAAAAAGGAAGGAAGGAAGGAAGGAAGGGAGGGTGGAATGGAGGAAGGGAAAGGAAGAGAGAGAGAGAAAGCAAGAAAGGAAGCGAGAAAGAGGAAAAAACATCCAAAGCTGCGCGGTGCTTGGCTGCTGGGATGCATCTCCTGCCCCCTCTGGACAGAGCCCTGGGGTCACTGTGGGACGTACAGGGTGGCTCACATACCTGGCCCTAAATGGGCCTCGGCCTCTTGGTGGCTGTGTGACACTAAATGAATTTTTGGTGATAATGACCAGGGTGGAATTTGAGAAAAAGATGCTTGCTGTATAAAGAAGCTTCACTGACATCCCAAGGGCAGTCTCCCGGCTCTGGGCTAAGGTATCTGGCTTCTGACTAGATGAGCACTTGCAGTCTTTTATTAGCACAAATTTTCTATTTCCTTAATTTTTCTGGTCTCTCTCATGTTCTCTGTAGTTCGTGCGTTTTTGTTTCTAACCTCTCCCGGTTTAGCCCAAATTGCACCCCCTGTGACTCTGGGAAGCACCCTGTCCAGCTGCCCGGCCTGGGAGTGCCCTTCACTGCCTTCTGCCTGTTGCGACAGCGAACTGCTATCCAATTAAGTATTTCACTGGCAAAACCAAACTCACTCACTTTGTAGTTTGCTTGAAGTCCGAGTGAATTATGTCCATTGCTTCACCCAGTGGGTTCACTGTCACGGGCTCAAATTAATCATGCTGTTTAAGCCCGACTGTCTTTCTGTAAATCTCTCTCTACCCAATTTGTATGTTTCTAAGCATTCTAGCAAAATCCCTCATCAAAGATCAGAGGTTCTTTGCCAATTCAGCAGATGGGCTTATAGGTATGTGGTTTTATCAGTTTAATTCCTAAACTTAAAAATATACAGAGATGGCCTGCTGTGTCTCCTTAAGCCCTTTATCTGTAATTTTTTTTTTTAAGTAGGAAAAAAAACTGTCACATGCCCTTTCTTTTATTTGCCATCCCTTCTGAAATATTTTATTTCTACTTTCTCTTTGCGATTTCCTAATTATATTTTTCCCAGTCCCTCCAAAAGAGAGCCTAAAACATCTGTTCTATTATTTCCACTGTCATCGATTCTATTCTGCCTCCAGGATATAACATTTCTTGCTTGTTGTTTTCTTCAGTCTCTCTAACAAACACAAAAGAATCCTTTTGTTCCTCAGAGAACAGTCTCAGCTGACACCAAGATCTGTCAACACACCTCCAGGCTCCTCCTTCCTTATTGTGAGATGCTTGTGTGTTTCTCTCCTGAGAATGCTTCTTTTGCCTGACAGCAGCACTGGGCACCCTGGTCCCATTCTTTCATTTGAGATTTATGGGGCAGGGTCATGATTTGAGAGGAAATTTTATTCCTGTTCTCATTCTCATCTGTAGATGAATCCTATCTCATACTGGACTGATGTTAGACACTGAAAAATATTTCCGTGAAATTCTACCAGGAAAAATTCTACCAAAAGAACCTCAGGCTTCTGCGCTTTGTGGGGGCTGGAGTCGTGATTTTTAGATTGTGAATCGAGGCCTCTGAGATCCTGAAATGCTTCCTGAATTAGACTGATGTGACAGTTAATCTTCCCTGCATTTTTAGCATGAAGTACCTTTTATTATGTTGAAAGTTCTGAAATACTCAAACAGGCAATCCCTAAATGATGTCCTCGGTAGCTTTTAGAGTAACCAAAAAATTTCATTCCCAGTGGACGACAGGATAATAGACTGTTTTCCTATTCCATTTGTTTCCACACACTTTTCCTGTTGTTTTTATAGTCAGGCAGACCTAAGAATCCAAGTTAGATACGTAACATCAGCCGCGCTGTATCAAGGCAAAAGGGCTGAGAGAAGTCGGTCAGGCTGGCTATTATATTCAATATTCCAGTGAACGCATGGATTATAAAAATATAAACGCGGGGCAGACATCCTCTCCCAAGAGCACTTTGCCACTCGTAAAGATGGAAATGGTGCTATACAACACCCGGAAGAGGATTCCAGCACACCGTGCCCCCTCCGTCCACCAGTAA